AGAGCTCTGTTCCACAAGGCACAGTACTCGCCCCCATCTTATTCCTCATCCTCATATCAGGCATAGACAGAGATATACACCACAGCACCGTATCATCCTTTGCGGATAATACTAGGATCTGTATGAGGCTGTCATCTGCTGAGGACGCGGTTAACCTCCAAGAAGATATAAACAAAGTTTTCCAGTGAGCAATGGAAAACAATATGATGTTCAATGAGGACAAATTCCAACTACTCCATTATGGAAAACTGGAGGAGATAATAGCTAGAACAGAGTATACTACAAACTTTGGCCATACAATAGAGCATAAAAATAATGTAAGGGACCTGGGAGTAGTAATGTCTGAGGATCTCACTTTCAAGGATCACAACAGTGCCACGATCACAAGTGCAAAGAAAATGATAGGGTGGATAATGATAACGTTCAAAACGAGAGATGCCAAGCCAATGATGATCCTTTTCAAATCACTTGTTCTCTCTAGGCTGGAATACTGTTGTACACTAACATCTCCATTCAAAGCAGGTGAAATTGCAGATCTAGAGTGTACAGAGATCCTTTACTGCACGTATAAGTTCTGTCAAGCACCTTAATTAACTACTGAGAACGCTTGGAAGCACTTGACGTGTACTCGTTGGAATGCAGGAGAGAGATTTATCATAATCTACACTTGGAAAATCCTGGAAGGAATGGTCCCGAATTTGCACACAGAAATCACTCCCTACGAAAGTAAAAGACTGGGCAGGCGATGCAAAATACCATGAATTAGAAGTAGGGGCACCACTGGTACACTAAGAGAAAACGCCATAAGTGTCCGGGGCCCAAGACTGTTCAACAGCCTCCCATCAAGCATTAGGGGAATTACCAATAAACCCATGGCTGCCTTCAAGAGAGAGCTGGACAGATACCTAAAGCCGGGTTGTGGCTCGTATGTTGGACTGCATGTGGCAAGCAGTAACAGCCTGGTTGATCAGGCCCTGATTCACCGGGAGGCCTGGTCATGGACCAGGCTGCGGGGGCGTTGATCCCCGGAATAACCTCCAGGTATTAGTCAGAGAGCTGAAGAGGGGTTGTTGAGGTGGTTTGGTCATTTAGAGAATGGATCAAAGTAGAATGACATGGAGAGCATATAAATCTGTTGGGGAAGGCAGGCAGGGTAGGAGTCATTCTTGAAAAGGTTGGAGAGAGGGGGTAAAGGAGGTTTTGTGGGCGAGGGGCTTGGACTTCCAGCAAGCGTGCATGAGCGTGTTAGATAGGAGTCAATGGAGACGAATGGTATTTGGGACTTGACGAGCTGTTGGAGTGTGAGCAGGGTAATATTTAGTGAAGGGATTCAGGGAAACCGGTTATTTTCATATAGTCGGACTTGAGTCCTGGAAATGGGAAGTACAATGCCTGCACTTTAAAGGAGGGGTTTGGGATATTGGCAGTTTGGAGGGATATGTTGTGTATCCTTATACGTATATGCTTCTAAACTGTTGTATTCTGAGCACCTGTGCAAAAACAGTGATAATGTGTGAGTGTGGTGAAAGTGTTGAATGATGATGAAAGTATTTTCTTTTTGGGGATTTTCTTTCTTCTTGGGTCACCCTGCCTCGGTAGGAGACGGATGATTTGTTTAATTTTTTTTTTTTTTTAAGAACATAAGAAAGAAGGAACACTGCAACAGGCCTACTGGCCCATATGAGGCAGGTCTAAGTCTCCTACCAGCTAAGGGGGCTGTAGGGCAATTTTCCGCGCGCGCTCACCGAAAAATCGAAAAAATATGGAAATTGAGTTATATATACTGAAAAATAGCTCAACTCTTTGGCAACACAATGGTACCAGAATGAATGTTCTACGACGTTTCTACAAGAAATTATAGTCATTTATATCAGGTATGGTGACGGCGATGTTGGTACCGAGTCTGCTCACGGCCTATATATTTTTTGGAGCTATTTTCTTGTTTTTTATCGCCTTTTCTTGCATTATTCTTTCTAATATAATAACTGACTATTTGGCAATCATAAACTAGTAGGAGCGGGACCCTTATCCGCAGGATCGATTAGTGACACCCGGTATGTCACAGAATGGGAAACCTCAGGACAGTGTAAATCCTTCCGATGTACAGAGAATCGCCCATTATTACGCTATATATCATACTCTACGGACTTATCTTTGTCTATCAGAATTGATAAATGATTTAAAGAAACTCCTAAAAACATACAACAGTTATATACTCTAAGTGAAAATAGGCCAATGACAAAATTATCGGAATATTTCGATAAAATATCATTACTCACTCATGTCATTCTTTAGCTTGAGTAGCGAGAGATCCCGGCCGATTTTTGAAGAGGACTAACCTGACGAAATCTCATTTATTACTAATGAAATACACCTCAAATCAAGCGATTTCGAGAAAATTTTTTTTATTTTTGAACGGGGCCGCGGCATTCCGGACCGATTCTCGAATAACTTATTCACCTAAGGAACGAAATGCTTCCTTTATTACTAATTAATGGAATATATTCACAGACATTGTAGAAAATATTTCTCTTATTTTGACCGTTGTTTTTGAAAATATTCCAAATACTTTGGGAGTTATGTGGGAGTAAAGGGCAGATTTTTTTTGCAATATTCCAGAACTAACAAACTTTATTTTTTTGTGAAATAACGGTAAGGTATTTTAGAGGAAATCTAACGGTCAAAATAAGCATTAGCATTGTACTCTCGGCACCAAGTGTCCAAACCACCTTACGTAGCCCCATATAAGAATGACTTGTGTCCCAAGGGCATTTTCAGTAAATCAGTCTTTTCTCAGTTGTTGTTTGAGGTATATTTTTGATAAATATTTTCAAGAAAGAGTGAGAACACTTTGTCTTGTGTACCAAAACTGGAGAAAATCGGACGGTAAATAAACGAGTTAGGAATTTTGCCCTACAGCCCCCCTTAATTAAGCCAATGCCCCAACCTAGTCAGGTCAGGTCACATTCACTTAAGGAAGGAACATGGTAACTGACCTAGCAGCACAAGCTAATCAGGTCCAACTCACACCCACCCACACCCACTCATGCATTTACCTAACCTATTTTTAAAACTACACAACATTTTAGCCTCAATAACTGTACTTGGGAGTTTGTTCCACTCATCCACAACTATTACCAAACCAGTGCTTTCCTATATCCTTCCTGAATCTGAATTTTTCCAACTTAAAACCACTGCTACGAGTCCAGTCTAGGCTAGATATTTTCAGCACATTATTTACATCCCCTTTATTAATTCCTGTCTTCAATTTATACACCTCAATCATATCCCCCTAATTCTATGCCTTTCTAGAGAGTGCAGATTCATGGTCCTCAGTCTATCCTCATAGGGAAGATTTCTGATACATGGGATCAACTTTGTCATCCTCCTTTGTATGTTTTCCAGAGCATTTATATCCATTCTGTAATACAGTGACCAAAACTGTGCAGCATAATCTAAATGAGGTCTAACCAAGGATATATAGAGTTGAAGAACAACCTGAGGACTCCTATTATTTATGCTTCTTGATATAAAGCCAAGGATTCTGTTAGCTGTATTGCGAACACTTATGCACTGTTGTCCTGGTTTCAGATTACTGCTAACCAGAATTCCTAAATCTTTTTCGCAATCCGTAATATTAAGATCGACATTATTTAGTTTATATGTGGCATGGTTATTTTCCTGTCCAACATTTAGAATTTTGCATTTGTCTATATTAAACTACATCTGCCACTTCTCCGACCACTGCATCAGTCTATTCAAATCTTCCTGTAGTGCTCTAATGTCCTCGTCAGAATGAATTCGACAGCCTATTTGGTGTCATGGGCAAACTTGCTTATGTCGCTCTTTATGCCCTCATCAATGTCGTTTAACAAGTCAGCCGTCTCACACCGAAGCAGGGTGACCCAAAATTATTTTTTGTATTAACACATAGGCCATTTCCCACCAAGAAGAAATGCTTTCATCATCATTCACTCCAACACTGTCTTGCCAGAGATATGCTTACACTAGTTATAAACACTAACATTAACACCTTTCTTCAGAGTACAGACACTGTACTGCCTATCTTCAGGACTCAAGTCTGGTCTGCCAGTTTCCCTCAGTCCCTTCATAAATGTTATCTTGCTCACACTCCAACTATCACAGTACTTTTATTATACAGTAATTTGCTGATTGGAATCCTAACATAATTTGCAGATTGGAATCCTAACAAAGTTAGCATCTTTTGCTCTCCAAATCTGTTGTTCACTTTCTATCATTGCTTTTTCCAGTTCATTTATAATGGTTGTCAGTGAGACCGACATAAAAGGGTCACCGTATTTTAAGTTTTTAAATATCTAGCATGGATCATTTTCTATTTGTTCTGCAGTTTGGTTGTTGATAACAATTACCCCAGGGCAATGTGTAGGGTAAATATTGTGCACAGAATTCGTAGTGTGGAAATTGGGTGTGGGATTACTAAAGGTATTAGTCAGAGGGCTGAAAAGGGGTTGTTGAGGTGGTTTGGTCATTTCGAGAGAATGGAACAGAGTAGAATGACTTGGAGAGCGTATAGATCTGTAGGGCTACAAGAGGCTGCATCAGCTAGATACCTTATCTCTGGAAGAATGCCAAGAAGCATTGTGATCCTGGCATACATAACGCTTCTGGTAATAGTGAAGGTTGACAATGTAAATTCACCAAGAATGAATTCAGAACAGATAAGTATAAACTAAACATGCACAAGTTCTACAAATATCAGAAAATACTTCAGAATAAGGCAAGTGAGGAAGTGCAATGAGCAAAAAAAAAAAAGATAAAGTTACATTTCATTATGCAAACAATATAAATATAGCTAATTACCACAAATCTTGATTTAATAGAATCTCCAAGAGCTTGAACTTATTTCTCCCAAACTTAAACAGGTAAAGTAATAACAAATACTATAGTTAATTACTAAGTAAATGCAAATATAAGGCCAATTAACAACTGGTTATACAATAATGAAATTCAAATCTCACCCGCTTCTCTTTCTCTGCACATCCAAGAGAACCTAAAGCTTCGCTACGTGACTTTAAATAATCGTCTACCAACATCTTGTTCCCTGGGCCAACTAAATTCTTCTCTGGACTTGCAATCCATGAAGGCCTAAAAAAAATCATATTATGCATTATTTGTGTTAATTTTTTGAATATTTACAAATTCATTATGAGAAAATAAGGTTCAGTCAAGATTATATGGAATCAAACAAATGAGAAAAGAATTAGATAAACAAATTTCATATAAATACCTTACTGTAATTTCTGTTGCTCCATAAATGCCAGAAAAACTAGAAAACTCAAGATTGTTATCACATGTTCCTGCTTCTAGAAATTTGAATTCTTTACAAGTTTCCTTTTCTGCTTGCTCCAGAAAATCTAAATCTGGAGCATGAAAGGACTCTGCCTCTAATACGCTAGCCAGCTCATACTGTTCAGCTTCAAACCATTCATTAGCCACATCATCTCTGCAATAAAACCAGAAAGTAAAGGGCTTGCTTATAATTATTTAGTTAACCCTTTCAGAGACTACCAGCTTTATGCAACAGAAGAAATATCATCACTGTTGCTGTCTGAAGCTGGGACCTCCCTATGCAAAAGTGTGCCAATATTCATGTCAAAAAGAATTCTCTAGTACTACTGGAAATGGTCCCATTGGGGTTATACAGCAACACAACATTCTAATGCACAGTGGAACTTCAGCTTGATCAATGAGAATGCATGTGAGAGAGAGTAGATAGGCTCATAAGCATTTATTTGAACTCATCATGACTGAAATCAGGCTGCATTTTCAAGGATGCTTTACACTGCAAATATCCTCAGTTTATTCTGTGCTTTAACTGTTATTTTTGTATTGGCTTACTTTTGTTGGACTAACCTTGACTGGTCACTGAAGTTTTCAACATCATTCATATCAGCACCAATGGATCCTAATGAATTACATGAAGTGGACAAAAGTTTGGATTCCTCTAGACCACCACGAAAAATTGTCGAATTAGCTGAAATCTGGTCAACATCAAAGTGAACCTGTTGGTAGAAATATTTTATAAATTCTGTGCATATCAGTACAAACTCTGTTAACCAGCAATTTATTTTAGACCTCTCTAGCACATTAGCTAACACTGATACTCAGTGGCAGAACTGTTATGAATGGCTCAAATCTTCCTTAAATGTCTAAATTTTGGCAATAAATTGTGGGGTACAGTATTTTACACCTGTATAAAAATGCTGATAAATGCTGTGGATATTTTGCTATTGTGGCAGCACTAGTTATCTGAATAATACTATTTCGTATTAAAGATATAATGTGATGATGAGGGACACTAAAAATCTGTGGCTACTTTTATTTTTACAGTCCCTTTCCATCCTTTCTGGCCAAATGCTTCCTCACCTCATGAAAATGGGAATCAAAAAAACCATAACTATTCCTTTATTCTTATATTCTTCGATACAGAACTCATTATTTCTCTCAACTCTACCATTTTTCCGATTATAATGTTAATCTTCTGATCATTTCATAATTCTACTCTCCCTCTTAACCCTTTCAGGGTCCGTCCCGTAGATCTACGGCTTTACGGCGAGTGTCCAAACCGTAGATCTACGCCATGAGCTCAGCTCACTCTGATAAACTGTGAGTGGTACATTTGGGCCTAGATATGAGAGAATACATCTATGTGGTATGTGTGCACCACATAAAACAGATCCTGCAGCACACTGTGTATAATGAGAGACAAAAACTGAAATCATGATTTTTCGATTAAAACAGCAACTTTGCAGTGTTTTTTCGTATGTTTTTTATAGTTGTATTTGCGATTTCTTGGTCTCGTTTGATAGAATGGAAGACATATTACAGAAATGGAGATGATTTTGATTGGTTTTAGCACTGGAAATGGCTTGAAACTGAGCTCAAAGTAGCGGAAATGTTAAATTTTTGCCGATATTCAAGAGTAAACAAACGACCTCACACGTCTAATACACGTCAGCTGGTGGGTCTAATACACATTCACAAATATGGTGATGATATTTATACAATTATTACAGTATTGCATAACAGTAAATCTTCTATTTTTTAGTGTGAATAAAAATTCATTATGTGAATAAAAAATCAAAATGGAATTTATTTGTAAAGCCTCAAAACATAACTAATGAACAGAGGAAATGTTAGTTTAGTGCCAGGAATGCCTACATTGTTTATTCTGGACCCTATTTTGAAATTGGAATATTTTGAACTGTGTTAAATTGGTCAAATTAACAATTTCCGATCACTTTATTTTGTAGTTGAAACAGTTGACTTGGCGATTTCTTGTACTCAATCGATAGAATAGAAGTAATACTAGTGAAATAGCTAAGAATTTGGTTGATTGGAATAATGTAATTGGCCTAAAATGGGAGTCAAAGTCGGCAAAATCGCCAATTCGTAAATATCGCTGACACATCAAAATTCGCGAGAGCATAATTTCGTCAATTTTCCACCAAATTTCGTACTTTTTGTTTTATTACCTTCACAAAAAGATTCTCTACGATTTCATAAGAAAAAATAACAAATTTTTTTTTAAATTCTTGGACACTGGTGCGTGACTCCAGATTTGGGCCTTGGACCCTGAAAGGGTTAAATATGCCCAAACACTAACATCTGATATTTGTGCTGCTTTTCAGTGATTCCCTTTGTTCAAAATACTTTTCTCCTAAGGTTTCGCATAACAGTGACAGGTTTGGGGTGTATAAGAGATAATGCAATTTTGCACTCACCGAGATGTAAATTTAAGATTTCTCAATTTCTGGAATTTCATACCCACCTGGCAGTACAAGCAAGAACCATTTAACTTTTCATTTAAACATATTAGAATACTTCTGTATGTAAACACGATTTCAAACTACAAAAACAAAAAATGCATTTTCCTGTCCTAATAATGTCTTCTTTTTTATTGTCCAGCCTTATTTTTCCTTTTGTCAAAATTCATCCTAAGAATTCTCATTTGATTACCTTAGGCTTGAATTATATATAACTTTTTTTTTACCCCATCAGCCATCTTCCACCATGATAGCCATCACTATTATTCTTTCAATAGCTGTCTTGCCAAAAATGTATGGCCATCATAATTCAGATGACCCTCTGAACTAACATTCCCACCCCTCCTCCATATTGCAAGCACTGTACATCACACCTTCAGGATTCAAGTCCAGCTAGCTAGTTTCCCTGAATATCTTCATAAACAAAAAAAAAAAATATCAGGTTATGAAATTTACTCTTATTTCTTACCTTACCACTAACAAAGCTATTTTCTTTTAGTTTTGAGTGCTGAGGCTGTAGTAGTGAGGATGGTAAACCACCTACCCTTCCCTCCTCTTCACTTGCAGTGGTATTAGTATGCCATTCTTCTGAAATATAATTTTTTCATTAAAACAGTATCACTAATAACCAAGAGATTTACAAAACTACTAAAACAAGTTAGGTGCTTTTAATTATATCTATGTTTTGAGTCAGCTTCTCCAAGAGTAATCTGAATCTTACAGTCACTGGAGCTGCCCATATTAAACATTAATACAGCCTTTACCATTCTCCTTTTCACCTTTCTGACTTGCATATATACATATATTACCATCAATGGGCTTCCTCAGAAATTTAATAATTCATGAAAATATTGCAACCATAGTCTGTAAAGCTGTTTGGACGTTCAATGTCAAATTTCACAACATATATTAATTTTGTACCAGGACATCTTGTTTTTGTATCAGTAAAATCAGAGAAGTGTCTGCATTCTGAAGGAGAGGTGTTAATGTTGCAGTTATATAACTGTAGTGTAAGCACGTCTCTGGCAAGACAGTGATGGTGTGAATGATATGAAACTTTCTTTTCGGGTCACCCTGCCTTGCTGGGAAGCGGCCAATGTATTAATAATAAAAAAAAATCAGAATATGTAAATATTAAATGCATCTCAAGCTAATCACCTTCAAAACCACATTCATTTTCCCAAAGCTATACACAGGGTGTTTTCAGTTGAGCACAAATAGGAAGCACATCTATTTCATGCTAAGAAGACGGGAGGATTGAGCCTTCACCACATCTTGTGCTGAATGACCCACATGGGCTGAGCATTTAACCTCAATTAAATTAAAAAAATTCAGTGTTCTTACTCCTGTCATTTATCACCCATAATTTTTTTAATACTGGCCATCTCCCACCAAGACTGGGTGACTCAACACAGAAAAACACAATTTCACTATCACTCATTCAATCAGTCTTGCCACAAGTTCAGATGAATCTCCAAACTGCAACAATCCCACCCTTACTTCTGAGTGAAGGCACTGTACTTTCCACCACCAGGATTCAAGTCCAGCTAACTGGTTTCCTGTTAATTCTTCATATATGTTATCTTACTCACAGCAAAAAAAAAAAAAAAAAAAAAAAAAAGCATCCACTCTTATCTAACACACTCACAAGCCTACTGGATATGCAGGCCCCCTAGCACTCAACCTCCTTTACCCCCTCCCTAAAACCTTTCCTAGGATGACCTCTCCCCCTTCTTCCCACCACCCCAGATTTATTTATTGATATATCCTTAACCCTTAACCCTTTCAGGGTCCAAGGCCCAAATCTGGAGTCACGCACCAGTGTCCAAGAATTTTCAAAAAAAAAATTTATTTTTCTTGTGAAATCGTAGAGAATCTTTTTGTGAAGGTAATAAAACAAAAAGTACGAAATTTGGTGGAAAATTGACGAAATTATGCTCTCGCGAATTTTGATGTGTCAGTGATATTTACGAATCGGCGATTTTGCCGACTTTGACTCCCATTTTAGGCCAATTACATTATTCTAATCAACCAAATTCTTAGCTATTTCACTAGTATTACTTCTATTCTATCGATTGAGCACAAGAAATCGCCAAGTCAACTGTTTCAACTACAAAATAAAGTGATCGGAAATTGTTAATTTAGCCAATTTAACACAAAGTTCAAAATATTCCAATTTCAAAATAGGGTCCAGAATGAACAATGTAGGCATTCCTGGCACTAAACTAACATTTCCTCTGTTCATTAGTTATGTTTTGAGGCTTTACAAATAAATTCCATTTTGATTTTTTATTCACATAATGAATTTTTATTCACACCAAAAAATAGAAGATTTACTGTTATGCAATACTGTAATAATTGTATAAATATCATCACCATATTTGTGAATGTATATTAGACCCACCAGCTGACGTGCATTAGACGTGTGAGGTCGTTTGTTTACTCTTGAATATCGGCAAAAATTTAACATTTCCGCTACTTTGAGCTCAGTTTCAAGCCATTTCCAATGCTAAAACCAATCAAAATCATCTCTATTTCTGTAATATGTCTTCCATTCTATCAAATGAGACCAAGAAATCGCAAATACAACTATAAAAAACATACGAAAAAACACTGCAAAGTTGCTGTTTTAATCGAAAAATCGTGATTTCATTTTTTTTCTCTCATTATACACAGTGTGCTGCAGGATCTGTTTTATGTGGTGCACACATACCACATAGATGTATTCTCTCATATCTAGGCCCAAATGTACCACTCACAGTTTATCAGAGTGAGCTGAGCTCATGGCGTAGATCTACGGTTTGGACCCTGAACGTAAAGCCGTAGATCTACGGGACGGACCCTGAAAGGGTTAAACGGTCCAAACAGATTGACGTTCAAATTCGTAGTGCTACAAAAGTAGATCTACTTTTTTTTTACATATTTTCAAATATAACAAAAAAAATGTAGGTAAGTTTTTTTTTTACACGTTTTCAAATGTAAAACAAAAAAGAAGATCTACATTTTTTTACATACTTTCAGATGTTGAAAAAACGTATACGTATATACGTTTGGACCATTTAAGGGTTAAAGTCTTCTATTTTTCTCTATCCTATCTAAATGTTCAATCAACCTCAACTACCTTTCTTCAGTCCTCTGAATAACACCTTCCCCTAATTTCTTAGCTCTAAAATCTTTGCGTAACATTCATACCACACATTGCCCTTAACCCGTAAACGGTCCAAACGTATATATATGTTTTTTCAACATTTGAAAGTATGTAAAAAAGTAGATTTTTTTTTTTTTTTACATTTGAAAATGTGTAAAAAAAACTGATTTACTTTTTTTTTATATATATTTGAAAATATGTAAAAAAAACGTAGATCTACTTTTGGAGCACTACACATGTGAACGTAGATCTGCTTGGACCGTTTACGGGTTAAACACAACCTCTCTCCTGAGTCCAGACGCTGCCTCCTACTCCTTCTCACCACAACATTCAACACCCATGCTCAATACCCATACATCAATGTTGGTGTATTGCCTTTTTTGCCTTTATAATAAAATTTATTTTCTCCACAAAACATTCCCCCTTTTGACGGGTTTTCGACGTATAAAAAACGTCTTCCCGAAAATTTGGTTTCTCCCGTAATATCCCTTCAAAAAATTCTAGGGGGTCATAATAAGCGTGTATGCCCCTTTGGAAAGAGAGAAGGGCAGAGGAAGAGAGAGATTTTGGAGATGTTAATGAAGAAATAGGACCTTTAAACCCAAAGTGAAGAGAAAATTGTGGAAAGGGGATTTTGAATGCAAAGTAGGAGAAACTTTTAGAGGGGGTTGTGGTAGGTAATTTTGGGGGTGCCAGGTGTAAATGATAAGGGGAGCCCTTTGATTGAACTTTTTAAGAAAGGGTTTAGTTATAGGTAATACATTTTTTAAGAAAAAGATGAAAAATAAGTATACACGATATAAAGTAGGGAGAAATGCCGGGAGTTTTTTTGGGTTTAGTTTTTGGTAGATAAAAAACTTTTGATTAGATTTCAGGAGAAAACATTTTTATAGGGGGGCCACAAAATATCAGATCACTTTCTATTTTGAAAGTTTCACTGAAAAGAAAAAGGGTTAGGGGGGAAATAAAAGGGAGAATAAACATCAGGAAAGAGGGGTAAAGGGTTTTTATAAACAAAAAAGAGGAGGCAGTTGGGGAATTTTAAACAGTATTGGAGGTAGAGGGGGCTAATGAGAGCATGGGCCCAAAGGGGGTGGGAAAAGGTATGGGGTAGGTTTAAAAAATGTATGTTAGAGTGTTCGGGGCAAAAGTTTGGGGTTTACAGGAAAGTGGGTGCAGGGGGAAGAGGGGGCGATTGGTGAATTTATATGTAAAGAGAGTAAAAAGGGGAAAAAAAAAGTTAGCATATAAAGTTTTTTTTAAACAAAGTAAATGATGCAAGGGGGGGAAATATATGGAAAAAAAGAGAAAAAGGTAAAGAGAGTGGTGAACAATGTAAAAAAGAAAAAATGAGAGAGGGGGTTAGTTTGTTCAACAAATTTTTTTTAAAAATAAGAAAAAATTTGGATAAATTTAAACCGTTAAGAAACCCTAGAAAAAAAATTTGGATTTTCATTTTAAAAATAAAAGGGGGAGCGTTTTTAAAATTTGGGAGTTAGGGGTATTGGGAAGATGGAAGGAAAAATTTTAAAGGAATTGTTAAATGTTGATGAAGATAGGGAAGCTGTGATTTCTTTTAAAGGGGGAAAGGAAAAGGAATAACATCTTGTAGGAGTGAGGAAAGCCATTTTGTGATTTGGGGGGGAATTCGTGAGGCAGTAGGTAAAATGAAAGGGGGTAAGGAAACCCGGGGAAAATTAAAGGGGATAAAGATAGAAAGGGTTAAAAGAAAGGTGGGGATATATTTTTTGGGAGTGGTTTGGGGGCAATTATTTAAAAAAATGAAAAGGAAGAGGGTAAGGTACCAGGGTTTGGGCAGAAGCATGCATATTCCTTTGTATAAAAGGCAAAGGGGATAAAAGAGGTGAAAAAAATTATAGGGGGATAAGTCTGTTGAGTGTACCGGGTTAAGTGAGGGGAAGATTTTAAAATTTGAAAGAATTAAGAGTAAAGGGAAATGGGATAGAAATTTAACAAGGAGGTTTTAGGAAAGGTGGGGGGGTGTGTGGCCAGGTTTTTTACAGTGAAACATAAAAGTGAACAGTTTTAAAAAGGGCTAAAGGGGTCTTTGTGGCTTTTAAATGGATTTGGAAAAGGCGTATAAACAGGGGGGATGGGGGGGGCAATTTTGGCGGGATGTTAAAGGGGAAAAGGTGTAGGAGGTAGGTTACGAAAGCAGTGAAGATTTTTTAAAACGGGGGATAGTGGGCTCAAGTTAAGAATTAGGAAAGGGGGAAATTTTTTTTCCCCAGTAAAAGTAGGCCTTAGAAAAGGGGTGTGTGTTTGTCCCCCCGTGGTTGTTTAATAAATTTATAGAAGGGGGTTTTAAGAGAAGTAAATGCAGGGTCCCTTGGGAAGAGCGTGGAGTTAAAAGATAAAGAAAACACACACAAAGTGGGGGTTTTCACAGCTGCTCTTTTTCTGATGACACTGTGCTCTT